ATGTGTCTCTTCTGCCCAGCGTCTCCGCCGGAGAGGACCTCGATCTCCTCCACACGAGCCTCACGAACATCTTGACGTAGCGTAGATGATCTAGGAGCCGTGACTTCGACGTCAAGTGTTGTCTCCAAAGAGCCTTCGCCATCGGCCTCTGATGATCCGTACTTCTCGCGCATGGCAGGCCACAATACTTGGTCCTCCCAGGTCTCGAAGTCGGTGAAGATGTCTCCTGATGAAGCGTCGGTGCTACCCATCGAAACCATCTTAGTCGCGCCTCTTTCTTCGAGCGTAGCGTCCAGGTACTTGGGGATCTTGTGGAATGTCTTCGCCCAGTCCTTGTGACCGCATCCAAAGACCGCATACGAGACATTCTCCAGCTCTTTGCCCTTGAGAGTGCCGATCCAGTTGACAAAGTGTGCGGCGTTATCAGTAGGCGCGCCTTCGTAGGATGCGGTGATGATGACAATGGGCTTGTCGGTGGGGATGCTCTCGCGCACGGCGTCCAGAGTGTCCACAACTTCCGCGTTGAAGCCATGGTTTGCAGCGTCGCCAGCAAGGCGGTTAGCAAGTGCTTCGCATGTTCCGGTGTTGGAGCCGTAGTAGATAGCCATAGGCTTGCCCTTGGTGGTCTTCTCTTTCCTGACAGCGGGTGCGCCATTCACTGGAGGTGGGTCGTTGAGCGTAGCCGATGCCAGCGAGCGCTCGAGCGATGTCGCGGAGATTCCGTTGCGGAGATGCGCGCGCATGTAGAAGTCTTTGGGCTTGATCGTGAGCGTCTGCTTGATCTGGAGTTGGTACGACGCGTCTTCCATGGTGAAGTTGAAGTTCTGGAGAAGAATTGCAAGCACCAAAAGGGCCTCTTGCCAGGCGAATGGCCTTCCAATGCAGGCTCGCATGCCGTTGCCAAAGGGCTTCCAGCAGTTGGGGAACTCTTTGTTGCGTCGCTCAAACTCAGCATCAAGCATTCGCTCAGGTCGGAATTCTTCGGCATCCTCACCGTATGCGACCGGATCGCGGTGGACCATCGGGAACAATGCGACGAGAGGGACGCCTGCCTTGACTGCATACTTCCCTCCAATCGTGGTGTCTTCCTTGGCAGTCATACCAACCGAAGGCGCAGTGGGTTGGAGACGAAGAGCCTCGCGGAGCACAGCGTTCAAGTAGGGAAGCTTCGTCAAGTGGTCAACAGTGATAGGGCCCTTTCCAATCACATCATCGACTTCCTGTTGCGCCTTCTCATACGCCTGGGGGTTCTTGAGAAGGTAGTAGAAGGTGAACGACAGCAAGCCCGATGTTGTCTCATGCCCAGCAATCAAGAAGGTGATCATGTTGTCAATGACGTTCTCGTCCGTCATCTTCTTGCCAGTCTTGGAGTCGACACCGTTCAACATGCCGTTCAGTAAGTCTTTCTTATCAGTCGGATTCTCTCTCCTCGTCTTGATGACGTCCAGACTGGTCTTGCGGAGCAGTTCGATGTCTTTCCAGTACTTTTGCGACTCGGCGCCGTAGAACATCTGCGAGATGGGGTCTCGCCTTGCGCGGTCTCCGCTGGTCTTGAGGAAGTCGGCCATGGCATCAACGAACGGGTGCATCTTTTGGTAATAGTAGGAGTTGAAACGGTAGTCCATGGCGCAAAGGGCGATGGTGTCGAGAGTCAGCCGGGTGAAGTCGTCCGTGACGTGTATGGTGTGCTCAGGGCCGTGTCTTGCCCACTTCATGACGAGCTGCGACGCAATGTCGTGCATCTCGTTGAACATGTTGCGAATGGCGAGCGGGCCGAGTTGAGGAAGCAGAACGCGATGCGCAATACCCCAGTTCTCTTCTTGTGGTCCGTAGGATGTGAACAAACCATCGTGAACACCGTTGCGGACCTGTTCTAGTGATGCCGCTATGATCTTCGAGAACCGCTCCTCGTTACAGATCTCGTCCATGTGAGCTTGGTTTGCGATGACGACACGCTCGCCGCCGAGGTAGAACTTCCATATCGGGCCTGCACTCATTAGTTCTCGGCTCGCAGATTCGCATCCAAACTCAGTCCTTGTGCACGAAGCGGATAGCAAGGCAGGTATAACAAGAAAATTACTAACCGTATTTCAGTGTTAGATTACACATGGACTGTATGGGATTTGTGGCATCGATATCTGTGATGTTGCCAACGATGGGCAGGCCAGGAGGGCCGGGGATGGGCTCAAGTTCCGTCATGTTAAAGTAAGAATAATAAAAGGTAGAAGGTAAAAGTCCAAGAATTCAAGTAAACGCTGGTTGGTTGTTGAAGATGTCGTGTTGACCGTTCGTCGTGGCCGGACAGCCCGCTCTATCTATAAAGTATCAGAAGAAATTCAGTCATGCCACGTCGTTTGCAAAATGACGCACTGAGACGAACTGGACTCTTTCGCGCGCTCCGAATGCTACCTCCTGGACGCGTTGGGACCACTTTCGCTGCTTGTCGAGGAAGATGCCTCGGTCGTCGTTGCGGAATGCGAGCACGCTGATTTGTCGGTTCCGTTTTGGGCAAGTCGCCGTGTCGGAGGTTTTCACGTCGGGGGCGGGTCAATTGCGTCGGCCGAGCTTGAGGCTGAAGCACATGCAAAGCCGCTGGACACGCGAGATGAGACGAGAATAGGCCCTGGGCGAGATGCGAAGTGTTGATGGGGCTTGAGAAGGTGCAGCTTGCGAGTGTTGGTGCAACGCAATGTCTGGTGGAGCAACTTGGCATTAGGTTCACTTCCATTGGCTTGTGGGGACAAAGCGGTGGGATGATGCGCGTGGACCAAAGTCATCCGCTGGCATTCCGGCGATCAGGGTCTACGAGGGTTGACTACAACTTCACATTAAGGACATCATTGATATCGTGAGGACGGGGTGGTATGTTTCATAATCGAGCATTCATCAATCTAGGTATCATACAGCAAATCGAGCGGTGGAGGTTGTTGTACTACGAGACAACCTCACCATGCATCTTCGAATCTTCCAAAAGCAAATACACTAATCATCGAGGTTGTTGGCGCATTCCTCAAGTAGATGGTTCGGAATCGTCATGTCGCATGCTTTGGGACACCATCTACATGCGCATCACCAGCGCAGCGAAAGCCCCAAACGCCATTCCTGGTGTCGACAGCGACCACCTCCCAGCACCGGCCTGCATATTCTCGAACGGGCTACCGTTGCCGTTGGCCGGCGGAGGATCTGTCTCTTCCGACCCCGATGCCGACGATGTCTGCGTAAAGGAGGCGCCTGGTGTCGGCACCGGAGCGGAAGGCTGGGCAGAGGGGCTAGGCGACGAGATCGTGGACACGGGCGTGCCACCAGCCACAGTCGACGTGATGATGCTGCCGGTGCTGATCTGCGTCGGGCCCATGACTATAGGCACGATTATCTGCAGCGTGTTGCCGTCGCCATCGGTCGACGTCTTTGTTATAGTCGTGCTGATTGCGCTGGTCAGATCAGCGCCAGCGTCGTCATGGTCGTTGGTTTGGGTCGTGGTGGTGGGCTTGGGTGCGGCGGGGGCGGGCTTGGTTGTCGGGGCTGCGTGCGTGGGTTTCGGAGGGTCGGCTGCGGCGGTGCTCGACACAGCAGCGTAGGCGTCTTCCACCACCTCAGCAGGTATCGTGCAGCCGATGGCATCGCAGTAGAGTTCTAGCGGTCCGAGGACGAGTTCGATGTCTGATTCGTCGGCTTTGCATGAGGATACCGCGCACGCGACTGCGCTAAAGAGGTACGAGGTGCTGCTCTCGCTGGTTTGACATATGCCTGGAGCCACATCAGTCTGTGTCGCGACGAGATACACTGGCGGTCAACTTACATTTCCTATAACTGCAGCCATCGTCTGTGTTCCCAAAGCAGTCCCGCCAACACTGGGGGAGACTCTGCAGCCACCAGTCGCGATGCGCAGCAACACCCAGCGCGAAGACGTGCGCGAACAACAGCCATATCCCAATAGACGCCCACATGATCATACAGTTCGTAACGAGCGACGGAGGTGAGTGTAGTGAGGCAAAGACAACCTCAGGACCGCCGCCGCAGCCTTAAGGAGACGTCTATCCCTCTGCGCCTACCACTCTCGCGTCTGTACTCGGGGATGTCGCATGGCGAGTGGCGTCTGCACCCTTTCCAGATCACCGTCAGCCGGAGCCAACCAGTTGCGTGGCATGGATCGTCGCCGTCATCGTGTTTCCCCCGCTTGTGTTTCAGGTCGGGTGCACATCCAGGCGAGGGGGGAACTCTGCTCGCCTGGCTTCTCACTCTCGTCGCAGACACGCATTGCAACATCATGCCTTATGATCGATTATCACTATTCATGGAGTGTCACTGCCGTACGGCCTCTCAACACCCAATCCTTGCGGCTTTCTTGATTGCGACATGATGTGCGTCGAGGCTGAAGGTGGCGACTTCTGCACCGTTGTTTTTACTCGTATCGACAACTCCAGCTGTCAATATTTCGATAAGGCGTCGTTGCGGTGGAGCTGGAGAGTTTATCACATATCCCATAGTATTTCACCTCACGTACAGCAAGATGTGATACGGGAATACGACATCCCCGGCTATGCTACCGCTCAAAGCGTTGTCCCTGGTGGCATTTGCGGTAGCTAAAGTCAAAAGTGGCCTCACGGACCTCCTAGTGTCCAGTCATTACACACGTCAATTAATTCTCCTGAAGGAACGATCGCGACGATTTCACCAGACTTGATACTTTCGACTTCAACCAGCGCTCCGATGGCTTTCATACAAATAAGGAAAAGAGGCACGTCTGCGGGTGTGTACTTCAAGTCGAGTAGCAGACATTGCTCATTCAGGAAAAAGCAGGCCTGACATGGCACTTTTTGTGTCGTAACCCATCACGCCGTTTATGCGACAACGTCAAATGCACTCCTGGGTTACTTCAATCGTGATAGCATTGCATCTTGTTGACTTTGGTATACCTGGCGCAATTCTTTGATTCAATATCGTTCTCATGTTACTAGGTTCGTAACTCTGAGCAATCCATTCGATGCAACTACATTACCTCATCCCTTCGTCTTCAGCCTCTTCATCACGAAATCCGGAGGCGGCGGTCTAACAGCCTTCTTAAACACCTCTTCCCACGCGTCATCAAGCCTACCTTTCATCTGCAGATACTCTTCCTGCCTCACCCAAACCGCATACTCAATCACTCTCAAAAACGTTCTCTCCCCTCCCAGCAGAGCATGTCTGCTCAGCTGAAGTGGCACAGCCCAATGCTCCAAATTCACCCAATCGTGAGCAAGGAACTTGTACGCCGTGTGCACCGCTATCGCAACAAGCGTTGCATCACTCATCTCTGGTCGGTAACATGATCTGGATGTGGAGTAGGGTATGGGGAGAGCGATGAGTTCACTTCCATCCTCATTCGAGATCGCATATTCGTACTTACGCTCGTCTTCACGCTGGGACGTGGAGGAAGATGCTACACGGTAGCGGAGCAGTAGACATAAGGCGAGAGGGATGGTATCTGGACTTGCGTGATCAGCAGAGGTAAAGTCCATATTGAGGAATTGGAGCAGGCCTTGGCACACGGTGGTCATGAACTGCGTCGGGCGTAGAACGTCGCTGTTGGGGTTGATGTGTGAGGTGTTACCGCTATGCGTTGATGATGGACGGAGCGTGGACTCTACTATGTCGAACGGGGCATGTAGGATGAATGTGCTGAGACGAGCAAGGAAAGACGATGTGTATAGCCGGGGTGGGACGAGATAGTTTTCGACGGTGTCGTAAGACGCTTTTGAGGTCATGTCTATCCGGACGTTGGTGTCTTCTTGGTCAAAGCTTTTAGGACACTGCGTGCTTGCGAGAAAAGGAATGAGGGTATGGACATTCAGATTTCCTAAGGGCAGGCGCGAGCAGCGTTGTGAAAGCATGTAGAGGTGTGAATCTGCACTATGGCAATGTATAATACTGTTAACGAATGCGCATCAAGCGTGCTGGCTGTGACAGCGCTCTCACGACACATCCTGACATTGTGCTGTCTTGATGTCGTGCAAGAGAACGCTTGCCCGATACCTAACCTTGATCAGATGCTGACTATCGACATCTAAGACTGAGTTTCACCCGTCAAAAGAAAACGTCATCCTGATCTTCGAGCAACATCTGCCAAACAATCTCAAACCTGCCCACAAACTCCTTGAAGTCAGCCTCATGTACCCAAGTCCTGAAGTCCAGGTCCTTCAGAAACGCGATCTCAGCGCCTTGAATGTCTGCATACTGTCTACCCATGACGTCGGCCCATGCCTTCGGCGATACCCTGCTGTCGCAAAGATTTCCATACGCAGTCTTGATGGCCGCAGCGAGCCTGAGACTCTCCTCGTGCGTCTGCGAATTGCATACCCCATCGCGCGTCAAAACCCTGAACTTCAGGAGGAGGAAGAGGGCACACGGAATAACGTCCTTACTTACCGCCCATCTTTGACTTCCGTTTCTTAGCCAGTTTGACACGCGCGCGCACGTTCTGGTCATAAGGTAGCCGGGCTCGATTCGTAGGTCGGATGGGTTGATAAGGGCGAGGAGTGCTCTGAGGTCAGCTTCAGTCGCGGCGGACATGATGTTGTATAAGAGATCTGGGGGTACACTGGTGATGAAGCCTGCGAGTTTGGTCAAGTCCTCGTCTAGGTAGTATTGTGTGATGTCTGCGGTGGGCACACTGCCTGGATTTGTACGCAGGGTATATGGAGGCGAGGTCCGCATGGTTGACAATCTCCTAGTATGGTAGTGACCTGTTGCTATGTGGTAAGACTGTACAATATGTGAATGAATCTGGAGAAGAGAACTTGTTACGTGCGTCGGGGATTGTCTACTCTACTCTAGTACTTTGAAAAGACCTTGTAGTGCCTACAAGCATTGTATATTGAGCAAGTTCGCGAGCATGCACAGTGCATTCTGCCCCGTTCGTTCGTCGAACGAGACGATTATGGTCATTAGTGGAATGGCCGAGCCCCGTAGCTACCTGTGCCTGTCTTTCTCATTGTCGCTCGCTGTAGTTTCGCGAAGGCAGTCTTTGCATTCACCAGCTTGAGGATTGGGGCCTTGACGTTGCGCTTGTACCTCGGCGTGCATGGTGCTGGTTGATGATAGTGAAAGAGCTGTCTGCTTCGGGCTAGATCTCCCGGGGCTCCGCAGCTTCTTTCCCCGCATGCTGCACCTGCCCGTCCTCCACTCCCCAATGGCTGTCCCGCTGCCACCTGCTTCCAACCTCCACGCCATCCTCCTCGTCACCAAGTCGCGGTCGCTCGGCCCCCGTCTCGTCTTCCACTACCCACCGCTGTCACCTTCAGCAGCCGCACTCGCCGCCGCGAAAGACCCGGCCTGGTTTCGGCACGACACGTCGACGGCCAGCGTCGATTCGCGCAGCTCCGATAGCGAATGGGACAGCAGTACCGACTCGGATGATGACAATGACATCGAGATAGGCAGTCGCACCAGCGGCGGTCGCGCATCGGGGAGGACCCTGACCGGCCGCGTGAGCGACAAGTCCAAGCTGGGATCGGGGCTATGGGGCAAGCAGGAGACAATCGACGAGGAGGATGCCGACGACGACAATGACCAGGACGGTAATGGACATCGAGGCAAGGGCGGAGATCACGACTGGGATACCGTGCTGGGCTTCAAGATGGATGCGCTGGAGAAGATGTTGAGCCCAAGCAAGGAGTACAACAAGAGGCGCTTCGAGCTTGGTGTTGAGAGCATCGTCTTTCTCGGCGCACCCATGTTTGTAAGGGACGACGGGCTCTGGAAGAAGGCGAAGCGGAAGAAGAAGAAGCGCTCAGATCAGCAGAAGCTTGAGGACGGCGATCTGGTCAGGAATCTCACGAGCGCAAGCGACGACGACGACGCGAATTCTCCCGAACCGTCGAATGAACCGGTCCCAGGATTCGAGCCAGGCTACGGCCACGACTCCATGTCGAGTGGACCATCGGACGCTGGATCAGATGCGCGCAGCAACTCGACGAGCCTTGACATCAACAACCCAGACATGACCATGTTCAACGTCGTCTTCGTGCTGAATCCGCCTGCGCTGGAATACCAGCAACGCGTGAAAGAGATGTACGAAAACGTCACCCGCAAGTACGCCAAAGCACTCAAGTACGAGGAGGCGCGGTTCCAGTACGTGTGGAAGGAATCTAAGCGTATCATCGACATCAAGCAGCGGGCGAAGGAGACGAACGAGTCGCTCACGGCAACATGGCGCAAGATCGTCAGCACATCACCGCTCGCAAAATCGATAGCTATCATGTTCGACGCGATATCGCACGACAAGATAGCCCACATCCACTTCGATGCGACGTTCAACACATCCTTCCAGATCCCACAGGCCGATTCCACTCCCTACCTCCCCACCGCCATCGAACCCCAGATGCCAGGTCTATGGCTCACGACCTCGAACGTCATACTTGAAGACGACGATGCGCCTATGACACAGCATGCCGCCTTGCTGCTTTTGGAGGATGCCGAAGTGCTGATCAAGGACCTGGGCGGTGATACCGGTGGCAACGCCGCTGCCATCGCATTCTACATACGCAATATTATACCCACCAAGTCGCTACTCAAGATCTCGAAGAAGCATAACATATCCGCACATGACATGGAGTACATTGCAAGCCATCTTGTCTACTGGCGGCGCGCACGTCTCGTCGCTCCGCTATCACCACGCGACACATACATCGTCAGTCCAAACGCCGACATGACTGTTCTCCCAGCTGCGATATCAGTATATGCGCAGCGCTTCCCTACGTTACCTACGCTGCCCAAAGTACTGAGCATGCTCTCCGGTACACCTCGGCCGTACAGGAATTTCATACCCACCGCCGAACATCGCGAAGCCTACATGGAGATCCTGGCTTGGCTCATGCGCGGCGGCTGGGTGACCCAGTTGCGCACATTCGCGTGGGTGCGCGTAACGCCTGAGATCAAAGCGCAAGTCGCAACAGAGATGGAGCGCGAAGAGCGCATCAAGAAAGCTGAGGAAGCGCGCAGAGAGTTGATGAGCGACAACGATTCGGTGGCGGATAGTCTCCTCTCTGACAAGCGAAGCAGCTTGCTTTCCCTCAACTCTGCGCGGACTTCATCGCCCTTGCGCCGCACGCGCAGGGATGCGGACGAGGAGATGGAGAGCAGCACGATACTGAGCCCACGACTCGGATCGACCGCCATGTCGCGGAGCGTTTCTGCGCGCACGAGTTCGGACGCCGGGAGTACGAGCAGTCAACGCACGACTATTGCGCTTACGCCGTCGCAGAGAGCGGAGTCGCCATCTCATCTCGGGCTTCGAGATGTTAAGCCTCATCGGCCGTCGCCTCTACATCTGAAGCCGACCTCCCCATCTCCATCGCGCAACTCAATAGTCTCGCCCACTTCCCCAGTAGAGAAGCTAGCCCCACCAGACCCATCGTCCTTCGCACCCACCACCATTCTATCGCCACAGAAAGCGTCGTCGATAGAAGCGCGATGGCTCGATAAGATCGCCCAGACATTCGAAGAGACGGCAATCATCTCGACGAATCCCAGTCCGCCGAAACACGCAGATGGCGCGCTGGGTGGCATAACCGGTAAAGAGCTGCGAGAGAGCTGGCCTATGCTGCTCAGGCATCTGGATGGCAAGCATGCGATCGAGGATGTGTCGGCTAGAGAGGGCATCAAGCGGAAGCGGGTCGCGGTGCTGTTCAATGCGGTCAAGGAGAGAGGCTGGCTGGTTATTGCGCGGCATTGGTGAGTTGGTGGATGATGTGGTGATGATGCTTGATTCGATACCCGGGTGTTGGTTGGTTCTGAACCGTAGTTCTCTCAACCCACCTCATTTCAAAGACGAGTGCCAACACCCACCCCAAGAGCCTACGTTGACGTGAGGCTGGCTACTTTGCGTGTTATTATCCTGATGTAGGCTGCAGGCCACACTCAGTTCAAAGAAAGGAGTGGATACCCTGGAGCCTACGTTGACGTTGGACTATCTACTTTGCACGATTTGGAGTTGATGTAGGCCTTAGGCCTCTCTAATTTGTTCCTTGCATAATGCGAAACCTCTGGTTCTTTTGTGCCACAACATACTCGCGCGAACCATAGTTCTAAGATCACATCCACCGGTATTATTAGTACTGCGCGAAAATCCCATGGTCGAGCTCCAAGTACTCTCTTTGGAAGTAATATCACGTAAAGCTCAACCATGGCTTGACTTTCCGTGGAAATTTCAACCATTCCAATACTTCATATATAACACATCCCTCCTCTCTCTTCTTCCTTACCATCTTCAAAAGCAAAGTCTACTTCACAACAGCTTTCCGCACCACTCCCATCCCAAACCACTTCATACAACTACTACCAAACCAAACCAAACCACCAAAATGCGTGGCCTCTTCATCGCCTTCCCCCTGGCCCTGACCTCTGTTGCCCTCGCCGGCCCCATTTCGATCCCGACTCCTGCGGTGCCGTCAACGCCTGACTTTACGGCGCTGCCGCGCATGACCGCTGCCTCTGTTGTCGTCGCCGCGGCTCCTCCTGCTCCCACCACCACCACCGCCCCCACGACGCTCATAACGATGGCGTCTGGCCTTGAGCCCCGCAAGCACAAGAAAAACCACCACCAGCATGACAAGGACCACTACGGCTACGGCGGCTGCTCCGAGAACTGGGACGGGCGGTTGATTACGAATTGTCCGAGTGTTATTGCTACTACGTAAGTTCCGAAGCTAAATATCGTTTCCTTCTTCGGATGCAAAAGCTAATGAGATATGTGTAGGCTGGACTACCATGGCACGCATCCGCTTATGACTTTGGAGGGGGGCAGGCTTGAATACTGATTGCGAGGGCAAGTATGGGGGTTATGAGAATTGGGAGGGGAGACATGGGGGGAAGAAGACTATGGTGTGAGAGTGGGGGTAGGGGGGAGTTTGGTCATGGGTATATGAGAGTTATGGAGAAGGGCGTTTGCGATTGGGTTTGGGAGATGATGGACGGCGGCTGCCGTGCTGTCCCGCGGAAGATGCGCGGATATTTTCATAGTGTTTAGTCCTTTTCGTAGTGGAATCGACGGGTATTCACGATCAATTGTCGCACTGTAACAGCACATTCAGCACAACAAAGAGCTAGACGTACCATCAAGATGACATTACGTTCACAAACGACCACCGCTATGCAAAGATACCCATGTACAAAACGTCGCGTCTACATCCCACCATACACTAATCATCTATGACGCAGTAACAAGCACATAACTCGTAATAGCATCCATCCTCTCCTTAGTCAACTTCAACCCCACCTTAAGTAACTCAGTAGCAACCTCTTGGTCCTTCCTCTCCAACTCATTATACTTCTCGCGCGTAAGCAGCCAAGCAACAGAGTCATTCTCCGCGGCCACCGTGCCTGTGCGATCAGTCTCGGAGAAGAACGGCAGCTCGCCGCACGTGGTACCTGGTAAGATGACTTCGAAGAAGCTGCCTTGATCGAGTTCATATTCCGTCCGCAGACGGCCTTTCTCTAGAATGTAGAAGCCGTCTGGGTCGTCGCCGCGGGAGTACAGGACGGTGCCGGCGGGGTACTCTTTGCGCTCAAAGTAGGGTGCGACGGCTTGCCAGAAGTCTTCGTTCTTGGTGGAGACGTCTTCGAAGGTTTGGAGGATGATCTTGAGTGGTTGGGCGAAGTTGCGCCAGCGCGAAGGAGCGACTTGTGTGGTTTGAGTGGTGCTGAGCGAAGTAGTG